TCCTTGGGTTTCCGAGGCAGTATCACTACAGAAGTAGGATTGCCCAACCTTCCTTCTGAGGAGTGGCTGGTGGGTTTGAACCGCAGGCCTTCTGGTTAGCAGTCAAGTGCCTTAGGCACTATGCTACCAGAGCTCCTGAGAATCTGCTTACAGCCCTGAAAACTCTATGAAGCAGTTTTACTTTGCACACATGGGGTCTCCAAGAGTCAGAACTGACTTGATGGCAACTAACAACAACACAGTAAATATCCTATTGATGGGCCATACCATATGATCATTCAAGATAACTTCTTGATAAATTTAATGTTTTAACAGCTGGATATGTCATTAACTCTACAGGAGAATCAGCCAAACAACAATTATTTAATGAACATCTACTAAGAAGCTCTGGTGGTGTAGTACCTAAGGCATTTGACTGCTAACCAGAAGGTTGGCAGTTCAAACCCCCCAGCCACTCTGCAGAAGGAAGACTGGGAAATCTACTTCCATAAAGATTTACCACCTCCAAAACACAAAGAGGGTCGCTATGAGTCGGAATCAACTCAATAGGAGTGAGTTTGGTTTGGTTTGGTATTAAGTTCAAGATATTATTCTCAGGTGCTATCCTGAATGATATTATTCCAGGTGACATGTTGATAATGCTAATGGTAATAAAAAAAAAAATGATAAGTATTACTGATACTTATGAAACATCTACTTTGTCCTAAACACAGTTCCAGGTACTTGACATATATTCTAACTTAATCTTGACATATATTGCTAAAATGTTTCCCAGAAAGGCTATATAAGTTACACTTCCATTTGCATTGTATAATAAAGAATAGACCCAATGCATGCTTAATAGAACTTTATTTTAAAAAAAGTTTTCTGTTAATCTGATAGGTGAAAAACAAAATATAATAATTTAATATGGTGTGGTAATTCAGTTTTGTGTGTCAACTTGGCTGGGCCTGGTTGAGTGGCTGGGCAGCTGGTGGTAGTTATTCCCCATGATGAGACTGGCAATCAACTCCATGGTGGGATCTACCACAGCAGCTGAGTAGCTGCCTTTGGGATTTAGTCTGCTTCCTGTATTTAAGAAGCTTTGAGAATGGTCTCTAACCTATGGCATGCTTGGACCCTACATGTAGCCATGTCATTGCTCAACAGCCTGCTATGCTCTGCTGACCTTGGGACCTACAATGGACTTAAGTTAATGGCCTGCCATGTGGTTTGGTAATATCAGGATTGTGCCTTTTGATTTGTCAACCTTGGGGCTTCTCAGCCTCAGCAGCCAGCAGCTGTCTGAGTGAAGAAACGCCTCTAGCTCTAGTGGGCCAGGAGCAGGAGGCAGAGCTGGACCCCAAGATTGAGGGGCTTTCACCCAGCCCCTAGAGCTTGGCACTTTGAACTTGGACTTAAAGCCTCCAAATTGTAAGAATAAACTCCTGTTTGTTAAGGCCATCCCATTTGTGGAATATTCTTGTCAGAGGGGCACTAGGTAACTAGAACATACGGTTTTCTCTGAATAGTACTGAGGTTGAACATAAAAAAAATTGTGTATCAAAGACCTTTATCAATAAAGTGAAGTGATGATCTATAAAATGGAAGAAACCATATAGCTGCTAAGGGTCTAATATATAGAACTCCTACAACTCAACAACAAAAAAACAACCCAATCAAAAAATGCAAAAAGGATTTGAACAGACATGTCACCGAAGACATACAAATGGGCACAAGACATGAAAAGATGCTCAACATCATTAGTCATTAGCAAAATGCAAATCAAAACCAATGTGAAATTCTGCTTCCTCGTCAGGAGGATGGATATTATCAGAAAAACAGAAACTAAGTAACGTTGGCAAGGATGTGGATAAATTGGACCCCTTATCCATTGCTGGTGGAAATGTTAGGTGGTACAGCTACTGTGGAAAACAGTTTTGTGGCTTCTCACAAAGGTACATATAGAATCATGGTATGACCTGGCAACCCCACTCCTAGTTATATCTGAGACTTGAAAGCAGGAACTCAGATACTTACATAGCAATGTTCACTGCAGCATTTAAAACAGCCAAAGAAAGGGTAGAAATAACCCATGTCCATCAACTGATGAATAGATAAAGAAAATGTGGTATATCCATATAGTAGATTATTCAGTCATAAAGAGAAATTAAGTTTGATACATGCTATGACATGGATGAATCTTGAAAACATTATGCTGACTGAAATAAGTCAGACACAAAAAGACAAATATTGTATAACCCACTGATATGAAATATCTAGAACAGGCAGATGCATAGAGACCAAGATTATTAGTGGTTATCAGGAATGGGTGGAAGGAGGAAATGGGGAGCTAATTACTTTAGGGACACTGAGTTTCTGTTAAGGGTGATAAAAACAAATTTGGAAATGGATAGGGGTGATGGCTGTACACCATGGTTAATGCGATTACTATCCCTGAATTACACGTGGAAAAATGGGTGAAATGGCAACTCTTTTGTAATATATGTATATGTATTATCACAATTAAAAATAAAAAAGAATGTTAAACTTTCACATTTATTTTGGGACTTGTCTATTCATGTCTTTTTTCTTAATTTGTAAAAAATTTTAAATGTTAAGCATATTTAACCTTTTCCTGACATGTCACCAATATTTTTCCCAGGATGGCATTTATCAAAAATGATACAGTCAAAATCAATCTCTTCTATCCCTGTTATTGTTGTTATTATTATGTGCCGTTGAGTCAAATGCCTTAGGCACTGTGCTACCAAATATTCACTTGTATTTTCTTTGGGAGCTCTGGTAGCTCTACTAACCTAAAGCATTTGAATGCTAACCAGAAGGCTGGTGGTTCAAACCCACCAGCCACTCCTCAGAAGGAAGATGGGGCAATCTACTTCCATAGTGATACCTCTTCTGAAATCCAAGAAGGGGTCGCTATGAGTAGGATCCAACTCCATGGCAGTGAGTTTGGTTTTTATTTTTTTTCTTTTAGTTTGTTCATGGTTTTGTTTTATACATATGTATTTTTTGTTGTAGGATACAAAGGGTATTTTTCTTTCTTATATAAATAATCATGTGTCTCATTCATCATTTGAATACATTTTTCTTTCTCGACTTATTAATGATGCCACTTTTATTACCTAACGAAATCTCACATTACTTGGATATGTTTATGAGCTTTATAATATCTATCATTGATTGTTAGCTTTGGTATTAGTACTGTATTCGTTTTGATTACTGACTTCCACTCATGCATCAAGAGCCATTATTCTCCTCCAGGAGGCCTCCTTGAGTCTTCTAAAAAGATATGATTGCTCCCTCTTTTGTCACCTTTATCACATAAAAAATTCTACCTTAGATGCAATTAACAGAGTTAATCTTATCCAATTATATTCTGAGGTCAGGAAACAGGTGTACAGCATATATTTGTTAGCATATATTAGGAGCTATATGGTTCCCAAATATTTTCTTCCATTTTGTAGATGATCACTTCACTTTATTGATACAGGTCTCTGATACACAATAATTCTTTTTTTTAATGTTCAACCTCAGTAGTAATCAGAAAAAAGCATATTAAATTATTATTTTGCAGTGATGGCAGAACAGCTTTAGATACAGAAAAAAATGGAATAGGCAACTCACACATTGGTCCAATTCACTCATTGTGTCTATGAATAAGTTGTAAAGGTGACTGAACCATAGACTCTGTTGTAGGGAGCTCACTACCTAGCAGGGAAAAAAGAAAGGTGAATATATGTGATTACACACAGTGTGACTCACTTCTCACCACCATATGGTCAATTCAGATTCACAACGACCCTCAGTGGGTTTCTGAGGCTGTAAATCTTTACAGATTATTGCCTCGTTTTCCTTCAGCTGGTGATTTTGAACCACTGACCTGCTGGTTAGTAGCCAAATGTCTTACCCACTTTGCCACCAGAGCTCCTTACAGTGTAACTAAACTGGTATAAAATAAGCATGTAGAGTGCTATAGTTAAGAGAAAGGAAAAATCGAACTTTGTGAGCAGTGGGTACTGTTTCAAAGTAGCAGACATATAGGTCGGGCTCATAGTGGTTCTTAAAAGCCAAAGGAATCTCAAATTAACCTGAATGACAAAGGTGCATCAATTCAGATGCTTTAGCAGATGTTACATTAATTTAAGGATAACTTCACTGTGAAGACTTTCTTTGGAAACTTAATGTGCACTGGGTAAGATGGGCAAACTGAAGAGACTGGAATCTAGGAGCTCTCCTTGGAAGTGGTTTTGTGACACACACTGACAACAGAATGGGATACAGATGAGTTAACCTATGGTAAGCTCTGGTAGCATAGTGGCTAAGACACTTGCCTGCTAACCAGACGGCTGGCGGTTCAAACCCACCAGCCACTCCCCGGAAGGAAGGTTGGGCAATCCTACTTCCGTAGTGATACTGCCTCGGAAACCCAAGGAGGGGTCGCTATGAGTCGGGTTTGACTCGATGGCACATAACAACAACAACAACATGGTATGTGACTGGATGAAAACTGAGCAAGGGGATAAAATATAAACCATTAAAGTATAGGTTCTAATCTACAAACCACTTATTGAGTTGGTTCAAAAGATGTAAGAACTGACTTGGATCCTTGTTGTGAGAGTGAGCCTAGTTTCTTGCACGAAACTTACCTCCCACTCCGGGCCAGCCCAGGTCAGGGCAAGAACTGACCTCATGTAAGAGTGACGTCACTAGCACTGACGCATCTCACAGGGAGGGGCCTCTCAGCTCACCTCAGAAGGTAGTCAGCTACACGGAGCAGCGAGTTGGCCGCCTTCTATTCCACCCTGAAGGTCTGAATAGTCAAAACTGCAGGAACCGAGGCGCCGAAGGAGCTCAGGAGCGGTCACCTCCTTCCTCTCCTGCCCCTCACCCACATCCTAAGGCCCAGGAGCGGCCCAGTCGGTGGCGCGCGCAAGGGCCCGCCGTTTGAGGCGGTCACGCGCACGCAATTTTGTGCGCACCCTCGTTCCCTCAGAACCCGGAAGTGCGAGTTAGAGGCGAGCCACGTGGGTGGAGCTGGAGCGCAGCTCGCATGGGGGAGTCTATCCCGCTGGCCGCCCCGGTCCCGGTGGAACAGGCGGTGCTGGAGACGTTCTTCTCTCACCTGGGTATCTTCTCTTACGACAAGGCCAAGGACAATGTGGAGAAGGAACGAGAGGCCAACAAGAGCGCGGGGGGCAGCTGGCTGTCGCTGCTGGCGGCCTTGGCCCACCTGGCCGCGGCCGAGAAGGTCTATCACAGCCTCACCTACCTGGGGCAGAAACTAGGTACCTCCGCCCCGCCCCCGTGCCCCTTGAGGGAGAAGGAAAGCGGGTACATTCCGCGTTCGGCAATGGCTTGGGTTACTTCTCTCCGTTGTCACTCCTAGCCTCAGGCTTGACTCTGCGCAGTCTCCTCCCAAGGTTCCCTTCTTTCCTTCTGCTTTCACAAACTCCGCCCACCGGCCTCCGCTGCTGCTAGATTGGCGGACCAGGTGGATGCTCTTTGCAAGGCTATACCTCAAGCCGGTGGCTTTATCCATTTTACCCCGTGCATGGATTGGTGCCATAAATAAATTAACCCAGCTCACTCTCTGTCCAGTGACACAGCTGCCAGAGGAGCAAAACTTGGCAATACCATCTGGTTAGAGCCAATGAACACTATTATCTGGCCTCTTAGGATTAAGCCCTGGAGAGTTAAAGATCTTGCCCCCCCCACCTCCCCAATAAATATTTAATGAAGATGTTAGTGAATAATGGGTCGAAAAGGCAAGAGATATGCCTGGTGCTAGCCAGAGGAGAATGTAGTAAACACTCTTACCACACGTAATCAGTTTTGCCCCTGAAAATCATTATGATGCAAGAGCGGATTGAATTGATTTTCACAATCGGTAAAAACAATTAGTACGATTAGATTACAAGAAAATAATAAATGTAAAAGCCAAGGACTGTGCACACAAAGTATTACTGCTTATAATGACAATTATCAGTTAATAACATTTGAATCAGCTTTTAGAGTCGTTTTACCGCTTTGGCCTATTTTTGACCCTTTAATTATCAGAGGCACAGGGTCTGGTGTTAAGGATACATAAATAGTATAGAGAATAGAAATGTAAGATTAGATATAGATTCCATTTTGATTTTTTCCTCCAGTTTCCTTATATTGTCTGAAAGTGATCATGTATATCTTAACATTAAACAAAGGGGCAGGACTTTCTGAGATCTTAGCTTCTACTGTAGCTGTTCAGAGAATAATTTTGTGAATTTATTAGCAAGAGCTGGTCAGATAGTTCCACTTTATGTATGTTTTTCCTCCTCATTTTAGAATGACACCTTTCACAAATTTGCAATTGTTTTTGAGATGTTATTATTCCCCTTTCTATACATTGGCAAATTGGTTATATGCAGTTGTGTGGCTAGGTGATAGAGCACAAACCACAGCTTTGAACTATAAGATTTAGTGTGTCACATGGTTTATAAAAAAAATGCATACCGACGCTACAATTTATGTATATCTGAATTATTTATATACAAATAATACTTGAAAACAGGAAATATTCTAGCTTTAAAATCAAAGGTGGGTAGTTTTTTGCAGTTTTGTTTTTTTGCAATTTCTCCACCTCATGAAGAATGGTAATTGACCCCGTGTTTCTTAACTTTTTATTTTTTTAGCTCACTTATGGGAATGTGATGAAAGATGGGTACTTACTCCCCAGAAAAATATATGTGTGCTTACAGTTTCACATGTAACCTGAGAGAGTTTGATTTCCCAAAGCCTATTTACTGTGGCCTATTAAGGTGTACTGGAATGTGTGTGATATCACTGTGCTTACAATATGACTTCACCATTATAGATTAAATTAACTCTCCATATATTTTTGTGTGTGTGTGTGTGAAACATTTTTGTGTTGCTATTTCAAACATTCCCATGTTCTTCAGTTACTTTGCTAATTAGAAAATTTAAATGTTTTCTTTCAAATGAAAATGTTTGTTTCTGTTTAAAACATGGTTCAGGAAAGGGAATCTTTTTGACTTCACTCTTATGTCTGGTGTTTATCTGAGGCCTTAGCAATGAGTCCTGAATATAGATGCAAGCTTAGCTTTCACAAAGGACGGACCTAACAGGGAGCCGTCTTCTGTTCCAGTTACTGAAAACTGAAAAGTTACTCTTGAGGAGGAGCCCTTATCTTGGAGCCTTCACTTCCCTTTGAACAGAGAATAATACCTGTTTGGGAAAGGATCAGTGATTAAAATTTGCTGTGGAAGATTTTAGAAAGTCATACTTATCTTTCCTTTGTCTCACTATTGGAGCCTTTCGTCAGCCTTTACTCCTGGAATTTAGCATAGTAGAACTGAAAACTGATATGTGAAAATTATCATTAGCAGGAAGTTTTGAGTAAAATGCATGATCAGATGTTTTGCATGTTCCTTTAATATGTCTGTTACTTTGAATTTTTAGACATAAGATAAACTGCTGAAGTCCTGGGAAATGATAATTCTTCATAAATAGAGACTTCTGGAAATAATTAAAAATAATTATAGTTTATAAATTGAAAAGTGAAAGAAGTCAGGTTCTCTGATTCCTTCTTTCCCAGGACAAATGAAGGTGATCTCCTTTGGATAGTGTTAGCCAGGGTAGTCAATAGATGGGATCCTGTTCCGGAAGCTTTGAGAGAAGATGCTTGTTTAAAAGGAATATGTTGGTGGTCTCTTTCTTAATAGTGCCATTTTACTTGGTTTCACATTCTGTGATTTGTGTGTATTGATAAACTTTAAAAGGTATTCTTCGTATTTATGTGGTATTTCCACTACCCCAGATAACGGTAATCTGATGATAGATGGTATCCTTTATTCAACGCACAGTTAAAATTTTCACCAGGGCCACCCTATTTAACAGCTGAGGTCACTTTGCTCTGTGTCGAATAGCTAGCTATAGTTTCTGTAATAATTGATGTTCCCAGTTTACTGTAGAGTTTCAGAAGCTCAATTACCTATTATTGGGAGGTTTAGATAACTTTTCCTTTTGTACTTATAGTGGAAGGGAAAGGAATTAGCATTATTGAATGTGTGCTTTGTTCCAGAGACACTGCATACTACTATGTTACTTCATTTTGTCTTTATAGCAGTTCTATTGCCATAGTTTTTTTTCCCCTCCTAAATTTTATTTATTTTGTTGTTGAAACTATATACAGCAGAACATATACCAGTTCAACAGTTCCTACATGTACAGTTTAGTAGCACTGAAGCATTCTCACTCTCTTTTTCTAATTTGTTCCTCGCTCATTAACATAAACTCATTGCCCCCTAAGGTTTTTTTCCTAATTTTTTGAGTTCTTGTCAACTTGATCCCAAAAAAGCATAAGGCTTTTTTTTTTTTTTTTCCCAGCTAATTAAGTTAAACTATTGTTTAGTTTTAAAATGAGTTTAGAATATTTTTGGTTTAAGGTTTAAAAATAAGGGCAATAGTTTCAGGGGTTCATCCACCTCCAAGGCTTCAGAAAGACTAGTGTCCATGAGAATTTCAAATTCTGTTCTTCATTTTTCCCCTTTTGGTCAAGATTCTTCTATGGAATCTTTAATCAAAATGTTCAGTAATGGTAGCCAGGCACCATCCAGTTCTGGTCTCGTGCCAAAGGAAGCAGCTGTGCGTGGAGGCAATTAGCCACACATTCCATGTCTTCTTCCTATTCCTGACTCTCCTGCTGTTATTCCAGACAGAGATAGTTGTGCCTTCGATGGCCACTTGCAAGCTTTCAAGACCCCAGGAACTACATGATGAACTGAGCAGTAGAAAAGAAGAACTGAACACATTATTAAGCCAGTAAACCAGAAAACCAAACTCACTGCTGTCGAGTTGGATCCGACTCATAGCGACCCCTCCTTGGGTTTCTGAGGCAATATCATTACGGAAGTAGATTGCTCACTCAATCGTCCTTCCGAGCAGTAGCTGGTGGGTTAAAACTGCCAACCTTCTGGTTAGCAGTCACATGCATTAGGCACTACACTACCAGAGCTCCCATTAAGCCAATGAACTGGTATATTCTATTGCCATAGTTTTTGTTTCAAAAAAAAAAAACCAAAACCCATAAAACAAGGCTTAAAGTGGCTAAGTAATTTGCACATCACATAGTAAGTAAGTGAAGGAGTTGGGATTTGAAACCAAGTTTGTCAGACTCCAAAGCTTTTGAGTTTCGCATGATAGTGCTTTTCCCAGCCCAAAAGTTTTCCCCTAGACCTGGGCACAGAGGCCATATTGTCACTGTACGAAGTCAACAGAACTAGACTGAAAATGGGTATGAGAGGAAGACAGACTCCAGAGTACAATACTATATGAGATGTTGGTATCAGGATCAGTATTTCTGTATGTTATATATTGAGATGTGTCCCCCAAAATATGTATTGTAAACCCTGACCTCTATGCCTGTAATTTAATCCTATTTGAAAATGAGTTGTCATTGCTATGTTAATGAGACAGGATTAGTACAGAGATTAAAAGAGATTAAACAAGCAACCAAAAGAAGTAGAGGTGAGTGAAGAGAGATGTCAATCTACTTGATTGCCCAGGAGCAGAAACTCCAAGAGACCAGGACCTTCCTCCAGAGCTGACAGAACGAAAGCTTTCCCCTACAATTAGCACCCTGAATTCAGACTTCTAGCCTCATAAACTGGAAGGAAATAAATTTGTTTGTTAAAGCCACCCAACTGTGGTATTTCTTTCATAGCAGCACTAGCTAACTAAGACAGAATTTGGTAATGAAAGAGTGAGGTGCTGCTCTAACAGATACCTAAATGTGGAAGTGGTTTTAGAATTACGGTATTGGGTAGAGGCTGGAAGAGTTTTACGGTACCTGATAGTAAAAATTTAGATTGCCTTGAAAAGACTGTTGGTAGAATCATGAATGTGGAAGGCAATTCTGGTAAGGGCTCAGAAGGAAGTGAGGCGAGCCATAGAAAAAGTTTCTGTCATCTTAGACAGTACATGTGGTGCCAACAATAGAATGTTGCTAGAAATGTGGACATTAAATGTGCTTCTCATGAGGCTTTAAAAGAAAATGATGAACATGTGATTGGACAGTAGAAGCAGAGGGTAACACGAGCCATGGTATTTTCAGTAGCCTCATTTGCTTATGAGAGCTGGACAATGAATAAGGAAGACCACAGAAGAATTGATGCTTTTGAGTTGAGGTATTGGCAAAGAGAATTTAATGTACCATGGACTGCTAGAAGAATGAACAAATCTGTCCTGAAGGAAGTGTAGCTAGAATACTCCTTAGAAGCGAGAATGGCCAGATTTTAATCTCTTGTACTTTGGTCATGTTTTCAGAAGGGATCAATCCCAGGAGGAGGATATCATGCTTGGTAAAGTCAGTGAAAAAGGGAAAGACTCAATGAGATGGATTAACACATTGGCCGCAACGGTGGGCTCAGGCATAGCAATGATTGCAAAAATGGCACAGGGTCAGGAGATGTTTCATTCTATTGTACATAGGGTCGCTATGAGTTGGAACTGACTCGATGGCACCTAACAACAACAACAAAGAAGTTGTCTGGATTATGTTCAATTGTTTGGAGGGAGATAGAACTTCTAAGTGATAAACTGAGATATCTGGCTGAGGAAATTTCTAAGTATAATCTTAAAGGGGCCGTGTGGTTTCTCTTTGCTGCTTATAGTAAAATATGAGATGAAAGAGATGACCTTAAAATTGAACTGTGCAAAATGAAAATGAAACTTGAAAATTTGGAAAATTCTGTTGTACAAACTAAGGACATGTGTCCTAGAATGTTCACCAAAGATGTGGCTACACAATCTTTTGTTAAAGAGATTAAGCCTCTGACTGATGGATCTAACCAATTGCAATAACAGAAAATCCATTAGCTCAGATTGAACGTGACAGAGAAAGAACGAAAGGAAAGAATGCTTTCTGTCACTTGGAATTCTACAGGCAGAAAATAGTTGAGAGGAGGTACCTCTTTTGCCCTTCAAGAAAAGAAAAGGACCATCTCTAGGGCAGCTCAGAGATCAGTAAAACTGTTAGAGCATGGGAAGCTGGGCTGTCTTGGTTTCAAAGGGTGGGGCCACAGCCTCCGAGGTTTCAAAGTGTTAGATATTTGTCAACTTGGTTTCAGAGTGTGGGGCTGCTGTTAAGGTGTGCCAGAGGATGGGGCTACCATGCCCAAGGGGCAGAAGCATGGTAACTGTTAGGGCCAAAAGGGTGTGGTCGCCACTCGGGTGTCTAGACAGATGGGGCTGTCCAAATCCAGGGGAGCAGAGTTGTCATCCCAGTGGGCCTGAAAACTGAAGCTGAAGCCCAGGACTGAGGGACCTCCATCTAGAATACAGAGGGTATGGCTGACACCCAGAATCTGGAGAACATATGATCTCAGAGAATAGAGGATTATTTTCAAGGTTTGGGAGGTAATGTACATTGTTTTGCTGGGTTTTATACTTGCTTTCTGTTATCCCTTCTTTCCCTCCAGTTTTTCCCATTTGTAATGGAAACGTATACCTTTTACCTGTTCCAGCATTGTATTATGGAAGTAGATAAACCTGTATTCTAGATTTCATGGGTTCACAGATGAAGAGGAATTTTGCCCCAGGATGGAACTAACATCTTACCTTTATTTGATGTAAAATTCAGAAGATGAGGTTTGGGACTTGAGTTGATTAAGACTTTTGGGATGATGGGACAGGGTGCATGTGTTTTGAATGTGGCAAAGACATGAATTTTGGGAGGCCAGAGGGTTGAATGTTATGGAGTGAATTGGGTCCCCCTAAATTATGGGTCCCCCTAAATTATGTGTGGGAGCTCTGGTAGCATAGTGGCTAAGGCACTTGACTGCTAACCAGAAGGCTGACGGTTCAAACCCACCAGCCACTCCTCGGAAGGAAGGTGGGCAATCCTACTTCCGTAGTGATACTGCCTCGGAAACCCAAGGAGGGGTCGCTATGAGTCAGGGCTGACTCGACGGCACATAACAACAACAACAACAAATTATGTGTTGTAAATCCTAACCTGTGTGCTTATCATTATAATCCCACTTGAGAGTTGCTTATTTTGGTTATGTTGATGAGAAAAGATTAGTGTAGGGTGTGTCTTCAGTCAATCTCTTCTGAGATATAAAAGAGATTAAACAAGCAAGTGAAAGAAGTAGAAATAGGAGAAGAGAGATGCCAAACCACATGAAGATCACCAAGGCGACAAGGACCTTCCTCCAGAGCCGACAGAGATAAAGCCTTCCCCTGGAACCAGCACCCCGAATTTGGACTTCCAGTTTCCTAAACTTTGAGAAAATAAAGTTCTGTCAAAACCACTCAATTGTGGTATCTCTGCTACAGCAGCACTAGATAACTAAGACACTGCCATATGGGTTTTGCTACTATTGGTAGGAGAAATGAAATGAACGCTAGTCAATCTGTTTAAACAGTATATTGGTAGCGTAGTGCCTAAGGCATTTGACTACTACTAACCAGAAGGCTGATGGTTTAAACCCACCAGCCACTCCTCAGAAGGAAGGTTGGGCAATCTACTTCCGTAGTAATACCACCTTGGAAACCCAGGGAGGGGTTGCTATGAGTCGGGTCCGACTTGATGGCAAACAACAACAACAGCAACATTGGAAATATGTTTTTTGATTATTAATAGTTCATATGGAGTTAGTAGTAAGTAGGGGACCAACCATCTAGGTTTTCCCAGGGCTGAGGGTACTCCCAGATGGGATACTTTTAGTTTTAAAACTGGGAGTAAGGAGTTTCTTGGGAAGCCAGACTTTCAGTGCTAAGACCTAGAGCCCTGTACAAACTGGGATGAGTTGGTCACTCTAATAGTAAAAGGTATGATTCATTTCTTGAAACATCAACTGGATAGAAATTGTGAAATGGTTCATTCACTGAAAGGATATTTTACAAATGCCATGATAAATAATTCTTACCCTAATGTATTTAGAGTAGTGTTAAGTTAATTCATTATGGATATATCAGTAGAAAATTTATCACCTATCTCTGAGATTTTTATGTAGTCTAGGAATCACTGTTTTTAACCTGCTCTTTTTCTTTTCATTCTCCTAATATCTTGCCTCTGACCTTTTGTTGGAGTACAGAATTGCTGAAGAAAACATCTTTGAAGCTGGCTCAATAATTATTAGAAATAAACTTGATCATAAATCAAGGAAATGATGTCTATGACATTTGATCTTTTTGTTGAAACAAATGCATTTGGTTCTATTTTTTGCTGATTTTCTTTGAAACCCCTAAGATAGAGCAGCAGTTATTTATAATTGGTTCCTGCTCTTAATAATTTGCAATGTGGTGTTTATTATGTTATAATCTGTTGTGTCAACCTTGTCAAGAGTGCTAAGATCTCTGCCCACTGCCGGGGTCCCTGTAGTGTGTGTGTGTGTAAGGAGGATATATGGATGTGTATTCTATTTTCTGGTATGGCTAAAGTACAAGATTCAAAGGAAAATGCAACTCTAAAGCAGAAAGAGTTATTATTTACCAGGAATAGCAACAGGTTTGATAATTTGGATGCTCTGTTTTATGTTAAATATATAAATGTGGAAGAATAACTGTTTAGATCAAGGTTGATGTCATTTGCTAAGTTAGTTATGCTCTGATATCAATTTGAATCATCAGTGAAGTAGGGTGGAGGAGAGTAGGTGGGTGGGTAAGCAGATCATACACAGGTAATTTGCTACATAATCAGTTGTACTGGGCATTCATTTAGCTTGTTCCTCTGAAATTGTTGATCACAAAGTATTTGAATCCCAGTCATATGCATCAGAGAATATTATAGGTAAAGACTCATTGAGTTCAGCAGGTTCAGAAGGGAAGACCCTTTGGGATTCTGGAAGATGTTTCGTGCTTGGTAGTTTCTCTTCCTTACCTGTAATGTGTTTATGTCATTTGCCTACCAGGGGGCCAGTCTTTCTTCAGTAGGAAGGATTCCATCCGCACCATCTATACTTCTCTGCATAATGAGCTGAAGAAGGTGGTGACTGGCCGTGGTGCCCTGGGCGGGACCGTTCCTCATGTGGAAGAACTCCTCTCCCACCTGTCAGAGCAGCTCTGCTTCTTTGTTCAGGCTCGGATGGAGATTGCAGACTTCTATGAGAAGATGTACACCCTCAGCACACAGAAGTTCATCAATGCTGAAGAGCTCGTTGGCCTTTTGGACAGCATCCTCAAGAAGTACAGCTCCAGGTCAGTGAGGAGGAGGGCAGGTGGGAGAGAACTCAGAAGCCCTCTCAATCCTATCTAGGATCTGAGTTGTTTTCCACACTCTTATTTATTTATTGTGATTTGGGTGAAAATTTACAGAACAAATTCACTTTCCATACAGCAGGTCACATACACTTTGTCTCATGACATTGACTACAATTTACTACAATGCATCAGCTCCCCTCCCACTTCCTCCCGATAGTTACCTCTTCCCTGTATCCATCCCTCCATGCACTCCTACCCCCTGAGCTGTCTCCCTGTGCATAAACAGCCCTTCTTTCTCCCATGATTGTTCTCTCCAAGGAGTGTATCTACCTCAGGTAAATGTTCAACTCATATGCCTGTCTTTTGTTTGGCTGGAGGCCACATGTGTGTTTTCCACACTCTTAAGAAAATCTATGATGAATAACTGAAGGAGAAACACCTTTATTACATTTTATACATATTAATTAATCAAAAGGTACATGTTAGGTACCTTCTTTGGACTTAGCACTATGCTACATACTTCTGTAAGCAATAGGGAATGACCAGGAATGAAGTAAGCCTTAAAAGATGTGTTATACAGGGAGACAGCTCAGGGGGCAGGAGTGCATGGACCAAAGGACACTGGGAAGAGCTAACTATGGGGAGGATGGGGGAGGGGAGCTGTTGCATTGTGGTAAACTGTGATCAATGTCATGAGACAAAGTGTATGTGAACTGCTGTATGGAAAGTGAATTTGCTCTGTAAATCTTCACCCAAATCACAATAATAATAATAATAAAAGTGTTCTTCTTGGTATTTAAAAAAAAAAAAAAAAAAAGATGTGTTATAATGGGTTATGCTGCTTATGAAAAAGTTCAGTCAACAATTAGAGAGTTGTATATAAAATAATGTGATTTTTAGCAAACTACTATTCAAATAAATGTCCCTTAGAAAATAATCACTTCCGTGAGTTATACACTTCTTTGAGTTATAGCCCTTACTTAGTTTGGAAACTCCTTTATAATTGCTTTCAGAACCTGTGAGGTCTATTTTTGGTTTTGTTTTCAATTTTCTAATTTGTGGCAGGTATCTGTGATTGTGAGGAAGACATACTTTAATTTTTCTGAATGGTCATAAAGTCATCTGGAGCCAAATCTAACTTTTTAAAAAAAGATGTAGAGTAACTAGAAAATTTCTTTTGTTTGAAGGAAATTGCTGCTTACAAAGACGTAAGTCTAGTTACAATTTGTGGCTCACTGCCTGACCCACAAGAGAAATACCAATGGAGTTTCAGAAGCATTGTGAACATATTAAAAGTGAAGGTCCCAGCTCTATCTTTGTGTCTCAGAACCTTGATGTATCTTGTCTATCAAACTGTCGCTGCTGTTGAGTTGGATCTGACCATAGAAACCCCTCCTTTGGTTTCCAAGGCAGTATATAGTAAAAAAAAAAAAAAAAAAAAACCAAACTCACTGCTGTTGAGTCAGTTCCAACTCATAACGACCCTCCCCTTGGGTTACCAAGGTAGTATCTCTACAGAAGTAGATTGCTCAGTCTTCTTCTGAGGAATGGCTGGTGGGTTTGAACCGCTAACCTTCTGCTTCGCAGTCAGATGGCTTAGACACTACACCACCAGAGCTCTCTTTGTACATAGTAGGTGGTCAATAATTATATGTTGAACTGAAGGAAAAGTGATTACTTTGAAGGCTAGCACTCCTCTGAAGGAGTTCAAGTATGTTTGCTTAAAAAAAAAAAAAAATGTAGCTGTGTTAATTTGTAGTCCCAAATGAAGGATCATCCCCATCTGGTTATTGGACTGAGGGAAGAGGGCAAATTGGGGAGATTTAAAGAGACTTTGTGGAGGAGACAGAATCTGAGGGGAACTTTTAGGGATAAGTAGGATTTTGAAAACAAAGAAAAGAAGAGAATAGGTGCTTTGAGATGAGAATATGTTTCTAGAACACTAAAAAGCCTAGGGTTTTGGTATTTGCTATTTCCTCTTCCTGAAATGCTCTTGCCCTAGTTATCTTCTTATAATTCTAGTCTTGGTTCAAATATCAGAGAAACGTTCCCTCCATCCTATAAGTATATCCCTCTTTTAGTCACTATCCTGTTCCCCTATTTAATTTTCTTTACAGTGTTTACTGCCATCTTAAATTACCCAGTTATTTGCTTAAGGTGTTTTTAGTCCCAGTTCTGACAGCTAGAATGTGAGTTCTATGACAACTTCTGTATCTTCAGCACCTGTAGGTGCTGAAGTAGGTGCTCAGTAGACATTTGTTGAATGAATGGCTGAATAGTACTTAGTTCCAGGTTGATAGTTTATACTGAATTTGGTAAGTAATGGGGAACCATGTTCAAACCTCAGAATAAGCATCATGATAAATGGAGAAAAGATGGAAATTGTCAAAGATTTCATTTTACTTGAATCCATAATCAACACTTAATGGAAGCAGCAGTCAAGAAATCAAACAACGTATTGCACTAGAAAATATGCTGCAAAAGACTTCTTTAAAGTGTTCAAGAACAAAGATGTCAATTTGAAGACTAAGGTGTGCTTGACCCAGACCACCGTATTTTCAGTCGCCTACTATGCATGCAAAAGCTGGGCAATGAATAAGGAAGACCGAAGACAAATTGATGTATTTGAATTATGGTGTTGGCGAAGAATATTGAATATACCATAGACTGCCAGAAAAATGAACAAATCTGTCTTGGAAGAAGTACCGTCAGCATGCTCCTTAGGAATGAGGATGATGAGACTTCATCTCTCATACATTGGTCATATTATGAGGAGGGACCAGTCCCTGGAAAAGAATGTTATGCTTGGTAAAGTAGAGGGTCAATGAAAAAGAGGAAGACTCTTAACAAGAGGGATTGACACAGTGGCTGCAACAATGGGCAGTGTTTCGTTCTGTTGTACATAGGGTTGCTGTGACTCAGAGCTGACTTGATGGTATCTCACAACAACAATTTTGTATCCATTGTAAATACTTCCAAGGAGCCCTGGTGGTACACTGGTTAAGCACTCGGCTGCTAACTGAAAGGTCACTGATTTGAAACCACCAGCCACTTCATGGCTGAAACAGTGACAGGCTGCTTCTATAAAGATTACAGCCTTGGAAGCCTTATGGGGCTGTTCTGCTCTGTCCTATAGGGTTGCTAAGAGTCGGAATTGACTCATTGGCAATATTTTTTTTTAATAGGTAAATACCTCCTTCTACCATGTAAAAATATGTAGGGCAAATCTCTGGCTAATTCTAATTATTTTAAATGAAAAGGGATTATAGATCTATTTCCTATTGGACTTCTCACATGTATGAGGCCAGTATACTTTTTTAGGAAGGAATTCCATGGTGTAGATTTGGGAAGGAGTAAAGTAATGTTTCTGTAGTGAAATTGTCTGTTTCTTCATTAAAATATTACAAAAACCAAAAAAACCAGACTCACCGCCATCGAGTGGGATCTGACTCATAGCGACCCCTCCTTGGGTTTCCCAGGAGGTATCACTATGGAAGTAGATTGCCCAGTCTTTCTTCTGAGGAGTGGCTGGTGGGTTTGAACCGCCAGCCTTCTGGTTAGCAGTCAAATGCCTTACGAACTATGCCACTAGAGCACCTTAAAATATTATAGGAACTTATTTTATATTCTATGGAGGGTCCATCCTTTCTTCTTCTTTTCTTTTTTCTTTCCATCCTTTGGCCTCTCTTCCTTTCTTAGTCCTGACTATAATTAGAGCAGCTATTCTCTGCAAATAGTTCTCGATTTAGTCTATATTCAGACTCTTTCAAGCTTGCTGCCATAGATGAGGTGTGTATTTTTGGATTACAGTAGTTTAACAAATCCCCCTATAAGGTGAGTTGTGAATAGCTGTGAGGCACACAGCAGAGTGGAAATGGGGAAAAGATACATAATGGTAATCTCAGAGACTTGGCAAACTAACACTAACATGAATTTTTTAGCTCTTCTTAAGGATGGAAAATAGCTTTGACATTCATCCTGCATAAAATTTTTTTAGCATTTAAATACTTTTTAGGTGTATGTTTATCAAAGAGCTCATTCAGAATTCTTTCTGAAGGTTTGTACAGGGAATTCAAGGAAAGTTTTGGATATAATTGGTGATTTCCAGTTGAAAGCAGGAGAAAAATAACAGCAGTGTTATTTGTAGTAGAATTTTCTCCAACCCCATACCATTTTCCTGACTATGCTAATAGTTCTGTGGTACAATGAGTTAATGTGGCCCTTCTAGCCATAGTTTTTGTAATTCCCACTAAATGACTGGGTAGGACTATGCAGATGTGGTGCTTGTGGCCCACCAAGGGGATTGGATAGCTCGCTGATATTGTAAATAAGGTACAAGGTACCCATGAGGTGGTGGGACCGTGCAAATAAAGTATATAGAACCCAAATGAGGGGATTGGTCAGTTTGCCATCCTGCTTAAAAAGAGGGCCAATTCCAAAGCAGAAGGGGGAACTGACTACTATCAAGAAGAAAAGACAGGAGCAGAGCACGTCCTTTGAACCTGGAATCCTGGCAGTGGGAACCTCCTCAACCCTAAGAGACAGAGCTGTAACATGGACAGATGGCAAGAATGGTGTGAGAAGCAGAGGCAGCAGAACCAGTGGACAGTGCAGAGGGCTTCTCAGCCCATGGGGTGAGAAAGCTGAGAACCTTCAGGCAGGAGGTTTGCTGGTGGAGTAGGGTCCCCCCAGGTACTAGATGGAGCTGGGTTTGCAAACCCATGGAGCTGGAGTTGAGTGACTTCTGGCTGAGGCTTACTGAGAGAGTGGGGTGCTTCTGGGCACTTAGCAGCAGAGCTAAAAGAGCTTTATAACACTAGCTCAAACAGGGCAGAGGCCAAGGGGCCGAAGGCGAAGGCCAGACATGTGCCTGTGGGTACTGCTGGAAAGAGGCTGTCCTGATCACAGAACTGTATCCTGAGTTGTTTCTGATCCTGAATTATAACTTGTTACTTCCCTAATACACCCTATAATTGTGAATATGAGTTCTTTGTGGC